TCATTCGCGTGATCATCTTTGGTACTTTCATTCGCGTGATTATCTTTATTGCTTTCATTAGTGTGATTATCTTTGGTGCTTTCATTCGCGTGATTATATTTGGTGCTTTACCTAATAATTTTTGGTGCTTACATGCACCAGATTACCTTCGATGCTTTAACTATCTTTGGTGCTTTTATTCGTCAAGTTATCATTGCTGCTTTAACTAATTATTTTTGGTGAATACATTCACCTGATTATTTTTTGTGCTTTCATTCACCAGATTATCTTTATAGCTGTATTTGTTGCAGTAATGTGTTAAGATACCTGCAGTGATGGAGAGTGAGCTTTGATTGTTTTGTTACCTACACAATAAACCTGACAGAACGATAGAAATTAGGGGTATGTGTCCTGGTATTTTGCTGACCATCCTTCTTCTTCTTCTTCTTCTTCGTTCTTAATTATTAGTGTTGAAGGGGATCGAGATTTATCTGCCAGTGGGTTTGAACTCGGGACTTTGTTCAAATGTATCAACCATGAACTTTTTGCCGACTCGACCACGCCTCCAACACAATTAAGCGTAACGTGTCAACTGGTTGTGCGCCATTGAGGCCATCGACTCCGATTTCAGCCTGCTTTTCTTTTTTGGATTTGTTTCCATAGCCTTTGTCCAACCAAGAACAAACTACAAGGCAGCAGTTGTTTAATTTTGGAGTTGTTTCTCCTAGAAGAGTGGCTGTCCCCAGCTAACGAGCCTCATCTGCCCGAGGGTTTGAACTCGAGACTTTTCGGTTTAGCAACCATGAGCTTTATCGCCTCTACCACGCCGACCCCGCTGAACATCCAACAGCCAAGATTTTCGGATGGCGTCATCAATGATTTAAACTTTAACAATAAATAATTGTTCTATTAAATATGAAACCATAAAGAAAGCAACTCTCTAATACATATTTTCAAAAGCTGTGTTTCTATGTGTAAATTTCAAGTTGTATTATGATGTGAACTATCTTTACATAATTGATAATGTAGCACAACTTTACATTTTTTATTATGTAGCATGACATTACATCAGGACAACACCTTACAAACGTGAACTACCAAACCGGCTCGTCAAATTCCTTCCAAACTTCTAGAAATCTCTAATCAGCAAAAATTCATTTCACCGTGTCAAAGGTTGAGGCTGATAAATGATATGAACACGACGTAAATCCAAATTAATTTTTTTTTACTCAGTCTCACCTCATGATCCTAGCAGTATAAAAATCTTCGCCATGAGCAGATAACTCGGGATGATACTATAGAAAGGCTGGGTAAGGGGAGGGAAGAATGGAGTGTAAAACGTGCGACTACAAATTCACGGTTAGGGTGACCTAGTCGTAGGGTGGTTATGACAAGAAATACGGTCAGTGGAAAGACGTACAGTTGAGAGACGTACAATTGAAAGAAATACAGTGGAGAGACGTACAATGAAAAGACGTACAATGAAAAGGCATACGTTGAAGAGACGTATTGATAAGAAGTACAATGAAAAGACAATGAAAAGACATATAGTAGATAGACGTACAATTGAAAAAAATACAGTGGTGAGACGTACAATGAAAAGACGTACAATAAAAAGACGTACAGTGCAAAGATGTAAACTGGAAAGACGCAGAGTGGAACGACGTAGTGGAAAGACGTTCTTTGAAAAGACGTAGAGGGAAAAACATACAAACGATATATAAACTAAAGCGGTATAAACTAGAGACGTACATGGAATATCCACACATTAAAGACGTACCACGAAATTAATCAAGCTTCACAACAGACGTCACGTAAAATTCCTACTAGACAAAAAAAAAAGACGCACTAAGAACGGCATTGATAGAAAACACAAACGGAGCTAAACACAACACAAACACGAGAATCAAAGTTTTGATTGTTAGATCAGCGGATTTTTCGGCGCTGATTTTAGCTACCGGCCCAGCGAGCAATAAATCAAGGTTTGCCCATGTTCCACTAACTTAGGGGACTGAACTAATGGACGTTCTATAACCTCACATAGACGTGTACCGGCTCAGGGGAGTGAACTAATGGGGGCTGTATAGCTGCCCACAGACCAATCAAACATATCCACAGTACACATCTTTCAACGGTCGTTCACTGGACAAGGTCGAGACGCCGAATTTAGAAGTTGGTCACATTTTTCGGTCAACGGTCGAGGGTCGTTTGGTGCGTTGGGTTGATCTATAAAAAGCTTTTTAGTTGATTTAGTTGGCAAGACGAGAGATGAGATGATGTACTAGACTTAACTAGACCGATGATAAGATTTGTGGGGCATTGGTGGGATGAGAAAAACAAGTTAAAATATTGAAATCTGGTTCCTTGAAGAAATGGAAACCTCTCTCCACCACTCGCTTTTATTACAATTTACTGTCTGGAATATTACTTTTATTTTCAAGTGCTAAAACGTGATGTCACACGTTATGAATACGCCCCCCTCCCTCTTCCTTGTAACACATTGTCACCAAATATCGAATATGTCTACTCGGGAACATGAAGCTATTTATAGACAACCTTAACCCTATCCAAGCCGTAACGCTAAAAAAACAAAAATTCAAACTAACTTTTAGACAACTATTCGAGGAAGTACGGTTAAGAAGTTAAATTCCTATAGTGGTCGAACGGTACCCATGTAACGGAAATGTAGCGTACACGTGTCCCATAAAATGGGGAACTGACCAGGGTAAGACGTGCCTAAAACAACTCACGTTGCTGGCGTCATAGACGTTAACCTTGACCTCTGGGTCACCGTGCTCTGGCCTACAACAGTTTCATTCATTAAACCTGCTAGCACATTTTGAGGTTTTACACAGATTTTATGTTTATGGCTTCACGTGATCTGCTCTGGCTGCTCCTATAGCTGGATATGTGTGCGTATGTCGTGCTGTAATTTCAGCTATGGTCGTATAACTGAAAGTGTTATTTGTTTTTAATGTTACTATATTTTACTTTCTCGTATTTGAAGTATTGAGGAAGTATTGTAATCGTGCAAAAAATCGAAATCAAATGTTCACAAATCTCTACGTTTTACACCTCCCTGAGTCGGAAAAACATAGTTTTGCAATCTTGTTCGTATGTGTGTATGTATGTGTATGCGGGTATTTAAGTATGTCTGTGAACACAATAACTTCAGTACCGTTACAGATAGATGGTGAAATTTCACATATATGTATTTTATCAAATTTGTAGTTCTGTATAAACTTTACAGCATTTTCCGGTAACCGGAAGTGGAAATTATTATGCTCATGGTTTTTCAAAAGCCTATAACTTTTCACATAGATGAACGAAAGTTCACATATACGTAAAAGATCTAATTTTCTGCCTTCTGTTAAATTTTGAGTAATTTCCGTTAATCGGAAGTAGTACTTTACGCTATTTCCGATTTCTCAAAAAGAAAGCATATGAATTTATAAAGTACTAGTATTCCGCACTATTATACACATATTGTTTCCGTTCACTTGGTGGACAATTCTTTTTATACAACATTCAAATCTATTTTTAAAAATTTAAGTATGTAAAAACTTATTTAAAATCAGGTCTCAATCTCGAGTAGCCATCCCCGTAGTGTTGTATCAGAATATTCGAGAAAGTTTAGTGAGATCACTCCCGCTTTATTTATGATCATGTATATGGCCAGCACGGTCAGTTCAGCTCAAACACGTACCTAGCATAAATTGGGGAAGATGTAAGAAGGTTTACTGACATTTACCCTCGTAATACACTAGACCGATACCCAGGTCAACTCTACTCCTTACACAGACACAGAGCACGAATCGTCTCTTGTTGACTTGGTACTCGAGATACTGGCGTCAAGAAAAACAGATATAGTCAAATCAGATACAAGGACTTTAGATTGAAGTTTAAATGTTATAATTTTAGACAATACTGCAAGCTAAAGGGCATTTAGCGTATAAAACACTGTGCACACAATTATCGTTTAAAATACAACTGAATTAATATTTACTTATGACTTAAATTAAATCAATAACTAATGATCTAAGATTTTGTAAATTTTTGCCAAGTATTTTGACCGCTTTCTTTGGCAAAATGTGAGTGTACTAATCAAGACAAACTCATTGTAAATGTGTGTTAGTCGGAGAGTCAAAACATAGATCGGATATGACTGAAGATTCAGTCAACTTAAGTGACTTACCTGTGGGGTAAAAATCATAAATATTGGTTGGGAGACGTAATCCAGTTAAGTAAAGTGACTTACCACAGGGTTTAAAGACTGATCGTTGTTTGTAAGACCTAGTTAAGTCAACTAAAGTGACTTAACAGCTGGATTAAATCATACGTTTGTGAGACCTAATTAAGTCAACTTAAGTGACTTACCCGCGGGATTAAAGTCATGAATGTTAGTTGTGAGACTTAAGTCAAGTGACTTACCCGCGGGATTAAAGTCATGAATGTAGAGAGACCTAATTAAGTCAACTAAAGTGACTTACCCGCGGGATTAAAGTCATGAATGTAGAGAGACCTAATTAAGTCAACTAAAGTGACTTACCAGCGGGGTTAAAGGCATGAATGTTAGTTGTGAGACTAAAGTCAAGTGACTTGACTTACCCGCGGGATTAAAGTCATGAATGTAGAGAGACCTAATTAAGTCAACTAAAGTGACTTACCCGCGGGATTAAAGTCATGAATGTAGAGAGACCTAATTAAGTCAACTAAAGTGACTTACCAGCGGGGTTAAAGGCATGAATGTTAGTTGTGAGACTAAAGTCAAGTGACTTGACTTACCCGTGGGATTAAAGTCATGAATGTAGTGAGACCTAATTAAGTCAACTAAAGTGACTTACCCGCGGGATTAAAGTCATGAATGTAGAGAGACCTAATTAAGTCAACTAAAGTGACTTACCAGCGGGGTTAAAGGCATGAATGTTAGTTGTGAGACTAAAGTCAAGTGACTTGACTTACCCGTGGGATTAAAGTCATGAATGTAGTGAGACCTAATGAAGTCAACTAAAGTGACTTACCCGCGGGATTAAAGTCATGAATGTAGTCCGGGCAGGGCTGCCTCTGGGTGGTGTTAGCCTGTGAAGCGTTCCAGCAGAGGACGTTGTCCCAGACCGTCTCACAGTAGGGCGTGGTCGAGTTGTCGTCTCCCGGGGTCGGAGGGTCTGAAACACGTGAGAGAGGTGCATCATTAGACGGGTTCAGTTGGGGTCGGGATTGGTGGGGGTGGGGGGGGGGGTGAGAGGAGGGGAGCACTTGTGAGTTTTCTTATTTCATTCAGTAAGCTACGTCAATTACTTAACAAATAAACGCTAATCTTTGTATATTAACGCTAACCTTTAAAAATTACTTTGTCCTTAGCATATTAAAGCTATTCTTAAATATAAGATGTTTATATATATATATATATATATATATATATATATATATATATATATATATATATATACATAATAATATATTATAAAGATATCTTCGATATAACAGTGGCATTAGCACATAAGCCTGGCCATAGCACAAAGACGGTAACCATAGCCACATCACGCTGAAATTTGAAGATTAACGTAGGCATTTGTATATTAAACCTGATCTTAGCACATCGACCCTGACCTCTGTTCTTTAGCCTTGACCTTAGCACATTAACCCCAGTCTTTTCTCATGAACTGAGGCTTTAGGACATCAACTAGCACGATTTCCTCGTCTAGACATTGTGACGTCCGTGACGTCTACCAGGCCATTAGTGTAGGCTGTTCTCAAATTAGGCAAATCTAAGTTCCGCTAACTCGCGCTTTTTAAACCGTCGTCTGCCCTAGCTAAATCCTGGCACTACTGACCTTTGCCCACTGTTTTACTGACATTTGCTGACCACTGTACTGACATTTGCTGACCACTATACTGACATTTGCTGACCACTATACTGATATTTGCTGACCACTATACTAACATTTGCTGACCACTATACTGACATTTGCTGACCACTATACTGGCATTTGCTGACCACTATAATGACATTTGCTGACCACTATACTGACATTTGCTGACCACTATAATGACATTTGCTGACCACTATACTGGCATTTGCTGACCACTATACTGACATTTGCTGACCACCATACGGACATTTGCTGACCACTATACTTACATTTGCTGACCACTATACTGACATTTGCTGACCACCATACGGACATTTGCTGACCACTATACTTACATTTGCTGACCACTATACTGACATTTGCTGACCACTATAGTGACATTTGCTGACCACCATACTGGCATTTGCTGACCACACTACTGACATTTGCTGACCTTCTTGCTGATCACCCTACTGACATAGTTTGCTAACCAATCCAGTGAAATGATTTTCTGACCGCGAGTTCAATCCTAATCAGTCACACCATATGGACAAAAAGGACGCACATTGTGGCAAATGTAAATATGCCCAACTTTAACCTTGGTTTCGATTTTATAACTCGCTCTGGCCCCTTGCTACTCTGGTCCATACAACTCTGGCCCATACAAATTATGTGGCCCATACAAATTATGTGGCCCATACAACTGTGGCCCATACAACTGGCCCATACAACTCTGGCCCATACAACTGGCCCATACAAATTATGTGGCCCATACAACTCTGGCCCATACAACTCTGGCCCATACAACTGGCCCATACAACTATGGCCCATACAACTCTGGCCCAAACAAATTATGTGGCCCATACAACTCTGGCCCATACAACTCTGGCCCATACAACACTGGCCCATACAACTCTGGCCCATACAACTGGCCCATACAACTGGCCCATACAACTGGCCCATACAACTGTCGCCCATACAACTGGCCCATACAACTCTGGCCCATACAACTCTGGCCCATACAACTCTGGCCCATACAACTGGCCCATACAACTCTGGCCCATACAACTGGCCCATACAACTCTGGCCCATACAACTCTGGCCCATACAACTCTGGCCCATACAACTCTGGCCCATACAACTCTGGCCCATACAACTCTGGCCCATACAACTCTGGCCCATACAACTCTGGCCCATACAACTCTGGCCCATACAAAATATGTGGCCCATGCAACTCTGGCCCATACAACTCTGGCCCATACAACTCTGGCCCATACAACTCTGGCCCATACAACTCTGGGCCATACAACTCTGGGCCATACAACTCTGGCCCATACAAATTGTGTGGCCCATACAACTCTGGGCCATACAACTCTGGCCCATGCAACTCTGGCTCAAACAAATTGTGTGGCTCATACAACTCTGGCCCATACAACTGGCCCATACAACTCTGGGCCATACAACTCTGGCCCATACAACTCTGGCCCATACAACTGGCCCATACAACTCTGGGCCATACAACTCTGGCCCATACAACTGGCCCATACAACTCTGGGCCATACAACTCTGGCCCATACAACTGGCCCATACAACTCTGGGCCATACAACTCTGGCCCATACAACTGGCCCATACAACTCTGGGCCATACAACTCTGGCCCATACAACTGGCCCATACAACTCTGGCCCATACAACTCTGGCCCATACAACTGGCCCATACAACTCTGGCCCATACAACTGGCCCATACAACTCTGGCCCATACAACTCTGGCCCATACAACTCTGGCCCATACAACTCTGGCCCATACAACTCTGGCCCATACAACTCTGGCCCATACAACTCTGGCCCATACAACTCTGGCCCATACAAAATATGTGGCCCATGCAACTCTGGCCCATACAACTCTGGCCCATACAACTCTGGCCCATACAACTCTGGCCCATACAACTCTGGGCCATACAACTCTGGGCCATACAACTCTGGCCCATACAAATTGTGTGGCCCATACAACTCTGGGCCATACAACTCTGGCCCATGCAACTCTGGCTCAAACAAATTGTGTGGCCCATACAACTCTGGCCCATACAACTGGCCCATACAACTCTGGGCCATACAACTCTGGCCCATACAACTCTGGCCCATACAACTGGCCCATACAACTCTGGGCCATACAACTCTGGCCCATACAACTGGCCCATACAACTCTGGGCCATACAACTCTGGCCCATACAACTGGCCCATACAACTCTGGGCCATACAACTCTGGCCCATACAACTGGCCCATACAACTCTGGACCATACAACTCTGGCCCATACAACTGGCCCATACAACTCTGGGCCATACAACTCTGGCCCATACAACTGGCCCATACAACTCTGGGCCATACAACTCTGGCCCATGCAACTCTGGCTCAAACAAATTGTGTGGCCCATACAACTCTGGGCCATACAACTCTGGCCCATACAACTGTAGCCCATTTAACTCTAGCCCATGCAACTCTGGCCCATACAAATTGTGTGGCCCATACAACTGGCCCATACAACTCTAGCCCATACAACTCTAGCCCATGCAACTCTGGCCCATACAAATTGTGTGGCCCATACAACTGGCCCATACAACTCTAGCCCATACAACTCTAGCCCATGCAACTCTGGCCCATACAAATTGTGTGGCCCATACAACTGGCCCATACAACTCTGGCCCATACAACTCTAGCCCATACAACTCTGGCCCATGCAACTCTGGCTCAAACAAATTGTGTGGCCCATACAACTCTGGCCCATACAACTCTGGCCCATACAACTCTGGGCCATACAACTCTGGCCCATACAACTCTGGCCCATGCAACTCTGGCCCATACAACTCTGGCCCATGCAACTCTGGCCCATACAACTCTGGGCCATACAACTCTGGCCCATACAACTCTGGGCCATACAACTGGCCCATACAACTCTAGCCCATGCAACTCTGGCCCATACAAATTGTGTGGCCCATACAACTGGCCCATACAACTCTGGCCCATACAACTCTAGCCCATACAACTCTGGCCCATGCAACTCTGGCTCAAACAAATTGTGTGGCCCATACAACTCTGGGCCATACAACTGTGGCCCATACAACTCTGGCCCATACAACTCTGGCCCATACAACTCTGGCCCATACAACTGACCCATACAACTGACCCATACAACTCTGACCCGTACAAATCTGGCCCATACAACTGACCCATACAACTCTGGCCCATGCAACTCTGGCCAATACAACTCTGGCCATCCTAACGATGGCCTTCCTATCATCTCTCGCCTTGTTAATGTTGTAAGCCAGACTATCAGACGCCGTGATACGAGTATCCGCTTATCTCGAATGTTTAATCACTTATCTCTACCTCAGGATAATCCGGGATAACACGGACACCTGGTCAGCAAAACGCGTGAAGCATCACTGCTGGCCCTCCCCCCCCCCCCCCCTAGGGGACTGACAGAAGAATGTCTGGAATCTGGTTTCGTTTACGACATGGAGGTGTCCCTGACCTTGGTGCTAGACAGTGAAGTAAAGGATTGAATCTCCGCGCCGTTCTTTAGTTTAGCCATTGACACTCTCCAGACTAGAGGATAATATTAAATTGTTTTTTAATGCACAAGTTGAAGGTTGTGCAGATATTTTATTAGGTGAAGGATTGCAGTGGGTGGTTTACCTTTTTGTGTTTTTATTCCGTTTGAGTTTGTCATGCATGGCAGACAGCAATGTTTATAAAACAGATTATTTTATTTATTCTTATATTATTTGTTTTATGTGTTTGTTTTTTTTTTGGAAAATTTGACTTATTAGAATATTCGTATGAATAATTATTTGTTTTAACAGATGGTTTCACAGCTTTTTATGGTTTATATAAAACATGAAATTATTTTTTTTTAAATTTATAAAAGTAAAAAATAATATCAAAATTACAATTGGTATTTTGATGAAATGGGGATGGGGTCCTAACAAAGTTGTACGATATAAATCTTGTTGGTCTAATGAAAATGTATTAAACCATAACGAAAAGCATTGGTTTGTTAATAATATTCATTAAAATGTGTTAGATAATACCTGTACGATAGGTCTACGACAAATTCCCGAAAGACACTTGCCCGAATGCCGTTTTTCCTAAAGGACACTTGCCCGAATTCGACAAATGCCCGAATGGACACTTGCCCGAATGGAACAAATACCCGAAAGCCACTTGCTTGAATGCTGTTTGCCCGAAAAATGCTAACATTATATTATATTAAAATTGTACCATAAGTTGATCTTATCTGTTGTCTGATACGAT